GACAAAAAGAAAAAGTTAAAGCAGGTGAGGAACTTTCACCTGCTTCTGAAATGCCTTTGTGAGGGAAGGGCTCAGTCAACAGAGCCTGGTGCAGAAGGGGCGGGGAGAGAGTGTTTGGTGAGAAATACTTGCTCAGAAGAGCTGTTGGATGTTTTGTGTGCTCTGGTTGGGATTTTAAAGACAGTGTCTGATACTGGGAGGAATGGCTTCCCACTACCAGAGGGCAGAGATAGATGGGGAAATTGGGAAGGAATTCTTCCCTGTGAGAGTGGTGAGGCCCTAGCACAGGTTGCCCAGAGAAGCTGTGGCTGCCCCATCCCTGGAAGTGTCCAAGGCCAGGTTGGATGGGGCTTGGAGCAACCTCGGATAGTGGAAGGTGTCCCTGTCTGTGGTGGGGGGTGGAACAAGATGAGCTTTAAGGTCCTTCCCAACCCAAACCTTCCATGATAACATACAGCATTTGACACTGGCTGTAGGGGTGTTCAAATAATGGCTTAAAACCAGTATGAAGTTACTCTGAGATCCTGCTCTCCATTAAATAATACCTGGTGGAATTATAGCCTGGTTTCCTGTGGTGCACTGGCCAACAAGTCACCATTAACATGCCATAAGTGGTCTTAAAACCAATAGGTGTTAAAAGCAATGATTTTTTGCTTTAGGAGACCAACCTCTTATCTGCTTGCAATCCTGAATTGTTCTTTTTGTGGCCTTGGCTTTGTGTTTTGTAACGTTTATATTCCTCAAGATTATCTTGCACTTCTCTGGCCTGCTAATATCTTGCCTAATACGAAAGCTAAAACACAGCAGTTCTGGCAGGATTTAATCCTGGAGGGGTTTTTCTTTTGCGGAAAAACCTTTGGCAAGTTCTTCTGCCCAATGGAATAGCTTTGTACTTGTCCTGGAATCTCCTAAGCAAATCTTGTGACTCAAATTTGAACAAGCAGCTTTTCAGAGCAGGAACTCTTTGGTGCCCCTCCTCCAGCTCCTGCCACACTGAGTTTCATGTGTGTTGTGGAAACTTTCTTGGACTGTAAAAGTGAGGCTGGACTTTGGTTCAAGATCATTAAAACTTCCTGCCTGTAAAAAAGAGTTAATTAGAGTTGATTAAAACTTGGAATAAGTGAGGGCTAAGATGTGATTCACAGCAACAGGTGAAAGAGGAGGAAGGAAATAAACTAAAATCTTTTAATAGTAAAACTTAAAGTAGATACTTAAATTTTTGATGAATTCTCACAAAGTCCAAAAGCAGATTGTACTGTGAGAGCCACAAGTGAGCAAAGCTGACTTTTAAATTTCACAGAACCATATCATTAGAGTCCTGCCATTTGAGCTGGGATAGCCATGGTGTGGTAAGTCACAACTTTTGCAATGACTGTTCAGCTTTGGGTACTTGGGGTAGGTTGAATCCAGCAGTGGAAAGGTTTGGCTGATGTTCAGGTGTATTTACTGTATAGATTATTTACAGTTAGTCATCTCTTCCCAAGGCCTGACACAGGGAACAGGCCAAATGTCACAAATATGCCTCTGATTCCAGGTATTTTCCTTTAGCTGTGTATCTGCAGGAATTGAAATGAGATGGAATCAGTCGTAAGTAAGGTTTTCTGGGAGAACCGCTCCAGAGCAGGTGAATCTTGGCTCCCAGTTGGGTAAAACAGACTTTTTTTAGCTGGAGTTTTTTGGTGGAGTGTGGGATTTTATTGTGATTGCTGCTTGTGTATGCTCAGTTCCAGAGGGAATACCCCCAGATCTACCAGAACAGGTTTCCAACGACGGAGAGCGAAGCGATGCTGCTGGAGAACAAACCCACCATCAAGCAGCCCATGCTCAGCCTGAGGAAGCCCAGGTTTCGGAGCCTGAGGTATTAATGTCACCACACTTGAGGCATTTATCTCCTGGATGTGAGTCTGAATGATTCACCAGAGGAATTGCTCTAGGAATTTGATGCTGGCTCTGTGTAGAAGGAAGAAATGTTTACATGGATAAGGTACTGAAAGGTGCCAAAATACCCTTTTTTTTAATGCAGATACTTTTGAATAACTTCTAAGAGAGAAATATTTATCTGTTTACAAATTATTACAATGTAATGTATGTAGGAAAATGTGAAAATAAGCACAAAGCTGTTGTTAACCAAAAACTTATATATGGTTTTCTATGGGAAACTAATGACCTGCCTCTTGTAGCCTTTTAATGTCTGGTCAGGAATTTGTGCCATTTATTGTAGTTTGTGTAGGTTTTAATGTCTGTGTATTGTGACTAAGTGCCTTCTCTATTCTTAAAATATTTGTCTTTAAACAAAAGAAGTTCTGTGAGTTCAGGACCAGGAGAGCCAAAAGTTCACCATGAATTATTATCTGCCTCCCTAAAATGCTTGTGTTTATCTCATCTGTAAAACTCTCATTAACTTTTCTATATTTATTTATATTAAAAGTCTTTAAGTATATTTCTGACATTTTCATGGAAAATTTATTTTGGATCTATTGGTGTGATTCTCAAAATAATAGGAGTGATGGATGATACAGCAAGAGGGTACAATGGAACCAGAAAACACTAAATTTCTGTATTTCCAGAGTTAGGGATTTCATATTAATTCTGGTAAGACCAAGGCTCCACCCCTGCAGGAGTATTTCTGGGAAGGAATAATTAATAATAATTAATTAATCTACTGCATGGCTTTGAGATCCCAGACTAGTTTGGGTTGGGAGGGACCTGAAAACCCATCTTGTTCCACCTTCCAGCAGACCAGGTTGCTCCTTCCAGGGATGGGGCAGCCACACCTGCTCTGGGCAACATCTGGAACCAGCTACTTTAGAGGGATGGGTGCTTTCCTTGGTGTGTTTGGCTGGTACCTGGTTCAGGTACCTCACCCAGTAACAGCTGTGCAGTGGAGGTGCATCCCTGGTGCTCTGTCATGTCTTACCCCTTCCTAGGACGAGAACCTGAATTGCCCTTGTACTTGCACATGGAGAATTACAGTCATTGCCAAAAAAACACTCATCCAAATAAAGTAAATCTCAATTTTTCATCTTTTTACTTGCTTTGGGTTTGTTTGGGTGTTTTGGTGTCTTGTGGGGAGGCTCTGTAAGAGTCTTGTGCAAGGTCCCAGGCTGAGTCAGACACATTCCAGATGAGGGTCTCGGTTGAGGATTGTCACTTCTACACCTGTGACCATGAGGCTGGGCTTCAGTTTTCTCCCAAAATATATCCTTTTGCTCTTTTTTTGAAGGTTTTGTAACTGAGAAACCCAAATTAGCCCCATTTAATCTATTTTAATGATGCTTCAATGTCCTGTAGATAACTTTCCACTTGCAGGGCAGGTGCAAGATGTTTCTCCCTTGTAACACCTGCAGTCAACTCCTTTTAACACTCCAGTACCTGCCTGAACTTGATTCCAACACTTCCCAACCTGTTCCCTGTTGTGTAAATGCTTTGTTTATGTGTTCCAGTTAAGTAACTGATTAGGTGAGCAGCTCACATTTTGCAGGATTTGGCTTTTAAAGGCCTGCCCTCATTTTTCCCAGTTCTTGATCCAGGTTATTTAATGTTCCCTTCTAAGTTTTTGACAGAGCTTAACAAAAATGGGAATAAATGGACAAATTGATTCACTGTGGGGCAATAAAACATTACAAATCAATGACAAAAATTCCATATATGGAACTTAAGGCTACTCAGACCTTCCTTTTTACAGCCTGTGAGTATTTTAATCCACTTGAAATGGACAGAGGTCAATAACTGTTCCCTCCTTTTCCTGCAGAGAAAAGCAGGCGGAGTTGCTGGTGCTTGTGCCTCAGAGCACGTTTTTTGCTAATTAGCACCAATAACTCCTTTCTAATGGTATTAATTGCAAGGAAGAGCAGTTCTGTAATCAGTTTGTAGGTTGTCTGCTGTCCTTTGCTGTTCTGGTGTTGATGTCACACCAGAAGAGTTGCCTGGTCAGGTAAGATTCAGGAGGAGAACTTGGCTGCTGTTGTGTGGGACCAGAGATGTTTTGGGATCTCTGCCTGGAGAAGGATGGGTCCTGGGAAGATGCTGTCACCATGGAAACATGGAATTTTCATGACATCAAACATTAAGATGCTGTTTTGAGTCCTGGAATTAATTAAAAGTCTCCACATGACTTGCAATGCTGAGAGGCCTTGAGTTTGCACTCAAGTTTATATTATTTATTGCCAGGAGACTTCCACTGAGAAATTACCATATAATTATGGTTATTAATCCAAAGAGTTAATGGGAGGCCTCAGTCACAGCTCCTGAAGGCTCAGTGCCTTCAGTGAGAAGCCTTAAATGAACCCTCAATCCAAATGGGAACACTGCCTTGAAAAGATGGAGCAAACAAACAAAACCAGGGAAGGAAGCCAAGCTTCACGTGATGGTTGTGGCAGCAGATCAAACAGAGGGATGTTTAAAGTCTATTTTTCTCCTTTCACCCCAGCTTTGATCACTGTTTCCATCTATATGGGAGGAGCACCCAAATGTACATGGTATTATGGAACATCTTCATCCTCTGCCATGAGCTGCCTGTGAGGGGACAGCACTAAACTCTCTGATTTCATTAATCTTTGAAATCACTCTTTACAGCACTATTGTTTTCATAAATGTTGACTCTTGCTACAGGTGGTTCCTGATGATGAGCCTGGAGAAGGAGTCTGAGAGAGACCTTGGGGTCTGCAGCTCCTCCTGAGGGGCAGCTCTGATTTCTGCTCTGGTGACCAGAGACAGGACCAGGGAATGGCTGAAGCTATGCCAGGGGATATATAGTTTGGATATCACAAAAAGGTTCTTCCTGCAGAGGGTGGTAGGGCACTGAACAGGCTCCCCAGGGCAGTGATCACGGCCTCAAGGCTGCCAGAGCTCAGGGAGTGTTTGAACAATGCTCTCAGGGATGGGGGGGATTGTTGGGGTGTCCTGGGTAGGTCCAGAGATTGGACTCAATGATCCCTGTGGGACCCTTCCAACTCAGGATATTCCAGGATGTTTGACGTTGGCATCTCCTTATCTCTGGATGTCTCTCTGTCCTATCACTCTAAGGGGAGGCTCTGGAAGAGCCGTTCCGTGCTGCCCTGGGTCCATGTTGGATCCAGGCAGGTCTCCTGTGCCCTGTGGTGCCAGAGCAGGGCCTAGTGCCAGTGCCAACGCCTGGCATGGCTCCAGCACGCTCCGTTTCACTCCTTGGGATTTTTTTCTTTGTAATCACTTCTGCTTGGGAAGAATTTAGGTCTCACAAAAGCAGTCAAAGCCCTTTTTTGTGTGGAGGGCAGGACAAAAGCTCCCAAACCCGGGAGGATTTGGGTGGTGAAAGCCGGCTCTGTTCCCAGGGGGCTCTCACTGGCAGGGGCTTCCCTGGGCAGGGCTCAGCACCCCATAAATACCCTGCACAAGGCTCTGCTCTGAGCTTGGCTGCTGGAGGCTCAGGCCCTTCATCGGGGAGAGGATGTACAGCCAGTGAGTATTCCTGAAGCTCCTCTCTATGGGAGAGGATCATGGATCACCATGTTGATGGAGTATTGGCTGGGGCAGCTGTGAGGTTGGGGGGCAGTGTGGTTCAGGGGGCAGGAGGAGGAGGGGAATGGTACTTCCCATTCCAAGGTGTGGTTCTGATCCAGGAGGATAGGCTCACCTCTGGGTTCCAGGGGATAGTCCAGAATTTGGAGAAGAATCATAGAATCCCAAATGGGTTTGGTTGGAAGGGACTTTAAATCCCATCTCATTCCACTCCCTTTCCACTAGACCAGGTTGCTCCAAGCCCTGTTCCACCTGGCCTTGGACACTTCCAGGGATGGGGAAGCCACAGCTGCTCTGGGCAGAGCACACTGGTCTGTCTGCTGTGTCTTCGTGGGCTTTGTAGTGATAAAATTGGAACCCAACAATTAATTCTTTGCTTAAAGAAAAAGAAAGAAAAAAGGCGAAAAAATGCTTCTCCAAGACCTGGGAGATAAAAGCTGGATTCTGCTTCCTAATGATCTGGACTATCCTGGATTTATCAGTAGATGGGGGTGTTTGCTGCAGGGCTGTGGTGTGGGCTTTCCCCTCGGTGTTTCCTCTCCCTCCACACACTCAGCCTTTCCTCCCATGCAGTTCTAGTGCTCTTCCCTCCTGATGTCTCAAGTTCTTTACAAGTCATGGCTCAGTGTGTCCAGAAGAACTGCCCCTCCCTGGCAGGGGGTTCCCAGCACTGCCCACCTCGGGCTAACCCAGCTTTGCCCTTCCAGAGTGGAGCATCCAGCCGGGGGCTACAAGAAGCTCTTTGAGACGGTGGAGGAACTGTCCTCTCCAGTGACCACCCACGTCACAGGTTGGTCTGGTCCCTGATCTCCTCCTGCCTGGCTTTGTTCTCAGAGCTCAGGGGCCTCCAGGGCTCGGAGACTTTACAAGGGCTGGAAGTAAAGGACCTCACAGGGCTAGGGATTTGGGGTGGAGGAAGGACAGATTGGATGGGAGAACCTTTAGATATTTCAGTACTGAATGTCTTGGTCTACAGCAGGTGTGGAGGGGAAGAAAACAGTTTCAAAACCTCATGTGTGTTTAAACAAGAAGTTGCATAAGCCTTAAAAAAATTTGAAGTTTTGTTCTTTTTGTTGTCACCATAAAAATTCCTTGGTCTGATTTGCCGTGTGCATCCCAACACTGCCTCTCCCACAGGCAGGATTCCCACCTGGCTGCGAGGAAGCCTCCTGAGGTGTGGTCCTGGCTTGTTCGAGGTGGGCTCGGAGCCCTATTACCACCTCTTCGATGGCCAGGCATTGCTCCACAAGTTTGACTTCAAGGAGGGGCACGTCACCTACCACAGAAGGTACGTGGTGGTTTTCCAAGAAACGAATAAATCAGGAAGCAGTTGCTTGACTGTGAGTGCTGGGGACAGGCTCTGGAAGGCACCGGTTATTTTTAGTCCATGGGATTATTGGAAGAGCTGTATCAGTGATATCATTAAACCAGCTCCAGATGAAACATGAGGCTGTGGGGACCCAGGGCTCTCATGAGCTTTATCACAGGAATATTCATATTTATTCGTACTTATTCATATTTAACTGCACAGCCTGTGGTGGTTTTATGTGTAAGGGGATTTCTCCTCCTCACCCTCCCAGGTTTATCAGGACTGACTGTTATGTGCGAGCAATGACAGAGAAGAGGATTGTCATAACGGAGTTTGGCACCTACGCGTACCCAGACCCCTGCAAGAACATCTTCTCCAGGTACTGGGGTCCTGCAGCCACTGCTGCCATGTCCCACAGAGCTCCTGCTTCCCAGAGGCCCTGACTGCCTGTCCATTCTCTCTGCTCAGGTTCTTCTCCTACTTCAAAGGTGTGGAGGTCACGGACAATGCCCTGGTTAATGTCTACCCTGTGGGTGAGGATTACTATGCCTGCACTGAGACCAACTTCATAACCAGGATTAACCCAGACACCTTAGAGACAATTAAGCAGGTGGGTTTTTGTCCTGGGCTGAAAAAGTTATGGAGCAGTAAACCTAAAATGAAAATCATGTAATCCCAGACTGGTTTGGGTTGAAAGGGACCTTAAAGCTCATCTCATTCCACCCCCTACCATGGGCAGGGACACCTTCCACTAGACCAGGTTGCTCCAAGCCCCATCCAACCTGGCCTTGGACACTTCCAGGGATGGGGCAGCCACAGCTTCTCTGGGCAACCTGGGCCAGGGCCTCACCACCCTCACAGCCAAGAATTTCTTCCCAATATCCCATCTGACCCTGCCCTCTGGCAGAGGGAAGCCATCTCCCCTTGTCCTGTCCCTCCAGATCCTTGTCCAAAGTCCCCCTCCAGCTCTCTTAGAGCCCCTTTAGGCACTGGAAGGGCTCTAAGCTCTCCCTGGAGCCTTCTCTTCCCCAAGTGAACACCCCCAGCTCTCCCAGCCTGTCTCCAGAGCAGAAAAGCTTCAGCCCTTGGAGCTCCAGCTTCATGTTCGTGCTTGGCTGGAGTTTGCAAATTGGAGCTCAATTGCAGCCTTAGAAAAGAACTTCTCACATCCAATGCAAGAATGTGTTGACTCATGACAACTTGCAGAGCCAGTGACTCCCCATCTCCTGCCAAGGAAGCTCCTGATTGTCTCCATTTTGTTCTCCAGGTGGATCTCTGTAAATATGTGTCCATTAACGGGGTAACGGCTCATCCCCACATTGAGAATGATGGGACAGTTTACAACATTGGGAATTGCTTTGGAAAAAACTTTGCCCTGGCCTACAACATCATCCGGATTCCTCCACTGCAGGCAGGTCAGTCGATCCCGCCTCTGAGCCACCTGGGAAAATCTTAGGAATCACCTCTTTAACCTGTAAATGAGTTTTGCCATTGAGGGTTAGTTGTTTTTTTTTCAAGCTTCCTTAGATTTTATTTACTTTTTAAGTGTTGTATTTGAAACAATTTCAAGTGGTTTCTAAACCATGAATTTCCTTTGTGTTGAAGGCAGACATTTACTGGGTAAATAAGCACAGACTATGTGAGACCTTCTGTTAACCCCTCACCTGTCCCATTCCAGATAAGGAGGACCCGATCAACAAGTCACAGGTGGTGGTGCAGTTCCCTTGCAGTGACAGGTTTAAGCCGTCCTATGTCCACAGGTAACATTCCATGGGGTCAGCTGGAACCAGGGACTTGTTCTCACACATAATCAGCAACAAAAACTAGGTGATTTACCAAAATCAGGGTAATTGTAGGGGATGATCCATGTGATAAGATGAAGCACTTCGTGGTTGTTATCCAAACTAAGCTGGTGAGCCTGATGTGCCCCCCTGCATTTCTAAACAGCTTTGGGCTGACCCCAAACTACATTGTGTTTGTGGAAACACCAGTGAAAATCAACCTCCTCAAGTTCCTCTCCTCCTGGAGCCTCTGGGGAGCCAACTACATGGACTGCTTTGAGTCCAACGAAACCATGGGGGTAAGCAGAGGGTCGTCCCCAAACGGGCTGGCCTGGGCAGCCAGCCTGACATTGGGAGGTCCATGGTATTGGTTTCACCTTCATTTCCCTGAGCCTAAGCAAAGCTGCTGGTTGGTCCTCAGGTGTGGATCCACGTGGCTGAGAAGAAGAAAGGCCGGCTCCTCAACCTCAAGTACCGCACCTCGGCCTTCAACCTCTTCCACCACATCAACACCTACGAGGACAACGGGTTCCTGATCGTCGACCTTTGCACATGGAAGGGGTGAGTCCGAGGGGCCCTGGGCACCACAACTTCCCCTGCACGAGCTGGGGGGGCAGTGGAGCCCTGCACAAGACACTGTTGGAATCACCTCTGGCACTTGGCACCAACCCATCTAAACACTAACACATGGGGACATGCAGACTACACAGCATGGAGTTATCCAGAGGTGCAAGGAGCCTATTTGACATTCATTTTCCAAGAGAAAAAATATTTCTATCTTTTATTTACTTTAACAAATGTCAGTGACTGCTGAAGGCTGATGCTATTTTGGCTGGGGCTGCACTGAGCAGGATCTGGGTGAGATTTGAATGCTGCTCTTTGTGTAAACACAGAAATGTGGCACTGAAATGATGAAGCCCAACCCTGTGTTGGCTGCATACCCAGGACACCTTGAGTTGAGCTGATCCTGGCATAAAATCATAGGATCCCAGAGTGGGTTGGGTTGGGAGGGACCTTAAAGTTCATCTCATTCCACCCCCTGCCATGGACAGGGACACCTTCCACTAGACCAGATTGTTCCAAGCCCCATCCTGTGCTTGTGCTGAGCACCAGAAATTGCTGGTTTTCCTCCCAGGGAAAATGGTGCACACACAGTTCAGCTCTGCCAAGGAGCTGGACTGGGACTCATGTTACTCTGTGTGCCCAGAGAAGCTGTGGCTGGCCCATCCCTGGAAGTGTCCAAGGCCAGGTTGGACAGGGCTTAGAGCAACCTGGGCTAGTGGAAGGTGTCCCTGCCCATGGCAGGGGGTGGAACTGGATGAGCTTTTTAAGGTCCCTTCCAACCCAAACCATTCTATGAATCTACTGAATTTTAGGATAAAAACATCTGCACTTCAACTCCCACTTGCAAATCCATCTCTGTTTCTCTCTGTGATGCTGTTTCCCTGCAGGTTTGAGTTTATTTACAATTACCTGTACTTGGTCAACCTCCGGGCAAACTGGGACGAGGTGAAGCGCCACGCAGAGAAGGCCCCACAGCCCGAGGCCCGCAGATATGTCCTGCCCCTCAACATTGACAAGGTACCCGCTCTGGGCCAGCACAGGGCTCTGCCTGGTTCAAATTCAACATTTTAATGAGAAAAGGAAACTTAAAGTAGGGGTCCTCAGAGAAACTTTATTTTTGCTTTAGCTCATCAGTGTTATTCTGGTTTATTCTCCATACAACTGCTGAGAGCGGTTGTGGCTGCCCCATCCCTGCAAGTGTTCAAGTCCAGTTTGGAGGGGGCTTGGAGCAACCCAGTCTATTGGAAGGCGTCCCTGCCCATGGCAAGGGATGGAAAGAGATGGGCTTTGAGGTCCCTCCTAAACCAAACCCTTTGATGATTCCATACATTTCTGTTCATAGCAGAGGCTGTGGGGCAGCAGTTAATCCTGGAAGGTACTGCTCCTGGGAACAGAGAAGGGGGCAGAAAAGGAACATGTGTGGTTCAATCCTCTAGCTCTCGGTGTGAGGTCCCTGGAGCTGCCAGCCTGGCACAGAGCTCACTGGCTGGCAGCTGTTGGGTTCCTTTCCAGCTCTCTTGGTCCCCGGTGGGTGGGCCAGGGGCTGCCAGGGCTGTGCTCAGCTGAGCCACCCATGGAGCTCATTGGGCTGCGGATCAAGTGAGAAGGGCAAGCCCACGTGGCAGTGCTTAATGAAAACCTCTGAATGCCCCAAGGAGGGGAAGAAAGTTGTGTTTACGAGCACAGTGATGGCTGAGGAGCAAGACAGTTCTGCACCACTGCCAAGAACACGGCAGCGGTTGCCTCCCTGCAGCTCCTGAGGCTCTGCTATGTCCTGCCGCCTTCCCTGGTCGATGTTTGCAACAGATCTGTGCAAAGAGACTCAAAAATGTGTTCCTCCAATGTCCTGGGTGTTTCTCTTTGTGCCAGGCTGACACAGGGAAGAATCTGGTCACCCTGCCCTACACGACAGCCACAGCGACGCTGCACAGCGACGAGACAATCTGGCTGGAGCCTGAAGTGATTTTCTCGGGGCCACGTCACGGTACAAATGAGACCCCAAATCCCAACAGCACAAGCACTGCTTGCACTCCCTGTCCCACTGATCCTCATGCTTTTATATATTTATTTTTTATTGTAGCCTTTGAGTTCCCACAGATCAACTACAAGAAATACAGTGGGAAGCCATACACGTACACGTATGGGCTGGGGCTGAATCACTTTGTCCCAGACAGGGTAACTGTCAAAGAATGGGTGATGGGTTCAGTTTGAGGACAACAAAGACTATTTCTGAGCTGAGGTTTTTGGTTTTCCCCTCCTTTAGCTTTGCAAGCTGAACGTTAAGACCAAGGAGACCTGGGTGTGGCAGGAGCCGGATTCGTACCCATCGGAGCCCATCTTTGTTTCACATCCAGATGCTCTGGAGGAAGATGATGGTAATGCTCATGGGGTTTGGGTCCATGGCATTGGGAGTGGGAAGGTTTCTGTCAGCTGGCACCAAGCTGGCTGCAGGGCTGGGCCAGAGGTGGGCAGGGGCAGAGCCTGCAGGCAGCTCCTGGACCAGATGTGCCAGGTACTAACAGTGGTGGGAAGTTTCTGAGGAAATACAGGAAAATTAAGACTGAATGAAAACAGAGGAGAAAGACCTCAAGGTCTAGGTGAACTGTTGTCTTAATTTTTTAACTTTTTGGCAATTTTCTCACAGTTTTAAAAAGAATTATAGGAGTTGCTGTGCCACAGCACCACAGGCAAAGCCAGCAGTGGCAGGAGCCCAAACAGTATGAGAAATAAATATACAATCATAGAATCATGGAATGGTTTGGGTTGGAAGGAATCTTAATGATTATTTATTTCCAGCCCCCTGCTGTGGACAGGGACACCTTCCACTAGCCCAGGTTGCTCCAAGCCCCGTCCAACCTGGCCTTGGACACTTCCAGGGACAGGGCAACCACAACTTCTCTGGACAGCCTGAGCCAGTGTCACTCACCACCTCCCTCAGCACCATTGATCACACAATTCCAATGGGATTTACAGTGTTCTGAGTGCAAGTGGCTGCTCTCCCATGCCCAGCCCCAGGGACAGACACTTCCCACACTCACCTGGGACATCCCCTTTGTTTTTTCACTGCAGGGGTTGTGCTGAGCATCGTGGTCAGCCCAGGCACGGGGCCCAAGCCCGCCTACCTGCTCATCCTCAGTGCCAAGGACATGAGTGAGGTGGCCCGGGCCGAGGTGGAGGTGAACATCCCTGTGACCTTCCACGGGTGCTTCAAGAGAGCATGACCTCGCCAGCCACACCTCATATGGGTCTGTTCCAGCTCCCAAAGGGGCAGTCTCCATTTACAGCCACTCCAGTGACCTACAATCCTTCGACATCCCCTTTCGTTTCTGTGGCTGCTTCATTCACATTGAGCACTTCAATTTTGGCCATGATTCTTCAATATGCTTGATCAGGTATTTTTTAAATACAACCTTTGCCATAATTTCCAGTTAAAAAACCACAAGTTTGGTGTGGTGGTGGTTCCATTTTTATAAATTTAATCCTTGTAGCTGCAGCAGAGTGAAAGATGCCTGAAAGAGCAGAGTGTAAGCTCAGCACTTGTACACATGGTAACATTATGTAGAACAGTCTCTGCTCCATTACATGTTTGAGAATTTTTAGCCTAAACTGAAGTATTATGGATTTAAATCCCCTCCTGGTCACTGCTTTAGTATCCTCAGAGCAATCCAAGTGGAGCCTTTCCACAGCTGCTTTGGGAACCTGAACTGGGTGGCCCAGGGCTGGTGGCAGGTAGAGTTTTGTTCTTCAGTAAGGCTGCAAACTGCACACACTCCCTTGTGTGTTTGCTCTTTCTCCTTTCTTTTGCCAAAGTGCATTTTCTTGATTTCTGTATTTCATGCTAAAACATGAACATGAAAAAAATCAAGCAATTGTTATCCCTTGGGCTGATTTTGCTTCCTTAGAGTGCTACAGATGCTCAGCTTTATCCTTCCTTCTCACAAAATAAACTTTCAGCTGATGTTAAAAGAGGCTCTAGTTGAAAATAAAACCTTCCTGCTAATAGACTTAAAATCTGTCCTTCTTGTTTGTCTTCAATTGTTAAACATTTTTATTAATAGTATCAAAGAATTAGAAAATCCTTTACACTAAGAGTTCTGGCAGGTGGCGCTGGCTCTGCAGGGCTGCTGGTTTGAGGGTGAAGATTACATCCTGATGATGGGATAGCGACACGGAGACACAGCCTGGTACTTCTGCTGTTCCATGATGTCCAAGCACTGGGCAATCACCTAATTAAAAACAAAAAACCCCAATATAAGCAATGAACCTTAATAAAAAAAAAAAAAATCAGTAAAACTTACCAGTTCTGCACTTATTTGTTCCTTCTTTTTGTGAAGCACTGAACATGCTAAAATGAACAGTTCAACTCTCACATATTTTCTTTTCATGTGTAGCTCCCAGAGAAGGGAATTTCAGGGCTCTAGGACTAAAAAACACTTCTTGGTGCTCCCTCATTATCAAAGTTCCCATAAACTCCACAAAAAATATTTTAAATCCACATAGTTCCATGAATATGTACCATACTTAGAAGGGTTGTGTTGTGGTTTAACCCCAGCTGAAACCAGGACAGATTGAGATCTTCAAGTATTTGTGATCTTCATGTGAACAAACTTCAGAAGTGCAAAGAACATTTTTATTGCTAATGAAGGAAAAATAGAAGAACAAAGGCAGTGGCTTTTAGAAAGAATGAAGAGATGTCTGCCAACTTCAAATAAATACAAAGCCAGGGGGGCATCCCAAATGGACACAGCAAATTACAAGCAAGAAGAGAAAGTTGCAAAAAGCAACATCCTAGGACAAAAGAATGGAAACAATGGGGATGGTGAGGAGCCTGAACTTCAGAGAGTTGAAGATATGGGTGATTATATGAAAAAAAAAAGATTCAGATACAGAATCAAAGGGTAAACTCAATGGAGATGCTCAGTGAGGAAATGCTCTGGTCAAGTAACCAGAATTCAACAGAAACTTTGTGGATAAACTAATGGGGAAAAAGAAAGGATGAGAATTACAGAGCTAAATTCCACAATAACGGAGTGAGCAGTGGGAGCCCCAGGTCTGGAATCAACATGCTGCTGATCTTGAGTGAGTCATGGGGCTTATACATTTGCTGCCAATCCTTGTGAGATCTGGGAAAAAGATGTACTAAAAGGAAAACCCACCTTTCTAGTGTTTTGAGGTAGAATGATTCCATCATCCCAGAGTCTGGCAGAGGAGTAAAATGCACTGCTTTCTTCCTCGAGCCTGGAGAGGACAGAACAGGCTTAAAAGCATGATGAAAACATCAGGGCAGTGAAAAAGTCATAGGTGAAACAAGCAAATAGTTCCATGCAGTACTGCTGTTAAAATGAATCTGAATGCAGAAAATAACACAACAGATCTGACCATTCTGCAGCACAGACCAGCTTGAGAAGATCCTAACAGAGAGACATAAAATTACATGGAAATTTAAAATATTTTTCAGTAGGTTCAGGTTTGCTTTATTAGCTTGGGATCTGGTGCTCGGTAAGATGAACAAGAGTAGGCAATTAATGTCCTTACTTTGTCTTCAGCTGCTTCAGCTCTGATTCATCTGTAGAGTCACTGTCCCCAGCTTGTGGGACTGTGGAGAAATGTCTTGAATCCACAAGAGCAACTCTTGCATTAGGCCACAGGAACAGAAAGTTTGGACTGAACGATCTCCCACACTACAAAGAAAAAACAAAAGCCCAGTGAAACTCACTGAAGTCAATCACAAAAGGTATCTGTGGGATGGCACAATGAAGATCAAGGCAGAATGGAACACACTTGGATTTGTAAAGCATTAATGACACAGCTCCTGTATCAGCACAGACACCCAGCGGTAGGAACCACCAAAAACCATCCCCACTGCCTTCAATATTGCTATTTTGGTATTTGAGTTTTAACTCCAAGGACTTACATGTTTCATTCTTACATGTTTAATTTTCAGTATTCATGTCCTGTGCTGCATTTCTTACTTAAAAAACAGTTGACAGATCGAGGTAACCAACTGTTTTAAAACTGCAGGGCTGTGAAGTTTTAGCACAGTGTGAAAGGTGTGTCCCAAGCCCTTGGGCTGATCCCACCCCTACCATGACGTAGCTGTCGCTCCCGTAACAGCCCCCGATGACGATGGTGATTTTGGGAACAGCAGCACAAGCAACAGCAGCCATCATGGAAGCCTGGGCTTTCAGCCTGTTGGAATGAGCCTCTGCCTGGAATAAAAAGAGACATTTTAGATCCTTTAAGACTTTATTCTAGATCCCCTTTGCTCCCACCAAACTCGTATTTCTAAACATTTATTTATTATTTACAATTCTGTGTGATCATTTCTTCCACACCAGAAATGCAGCATCATTAACTGACTGGTATCATTAACTCATACATATCATAAATAACTCATATCATTAACTCATAAGCCCATTATGCACTTATTTTAATACCTAAATCAGTACAACAATTACAACCAGGTGCAAATGCCTCCAACACTGAGCAACTCATTTGTGCCAGGCTTTGTCTAAGGGCTGGTGACCTTGGGAGGAACCAAGACTGCAGAAACAGATCCGGGAATCCAGTGGAGGTTTTACTATGAGGCTTCCCCCAGCTCAGGACAAAACCTACTGTACTTTAATGTCTACACTTTTCTAAAAGAGAAATAGCTAATTTTCTGGAGTGCAGTGGTGTCAGAAGAATCAATAAACTGTATTTCAATGTAAAAAGCACTTTAAATTATAGGTTTTACAGCCTGCATTGCCAGCTGACCACTATAATTTTATATAGGCATACAGGCCTGCTTAAAATTCAAGAGAGAATGGAGAGATTTAAGAATAAAGTCATTACAAAGCTTCATGATTTAAACCATCAAAAGTGGTTTAAAAAAAAACAATTTTCCTAACAATTAATAACTGTGAAAAGGTAACTTCAGGCACAAGAAGAATTAGGAATTGCTTAAGTATATGGAAGCAGACCTGCCGTACCTGTGAGATGCTTGTTGGCTCTGCTGGCTGTGGAGCAGTATTTTGGAGGAAGAGGATGGGAATTCCCCGCTGGCCACAGAGCTGGACAAAGTGGCTGCCCTTGAGAGCAGCGTCGTGAGCCAGCTCCCCATTGTTGGCCACAATCCCCACCAAGTGCCTACAGAACAAGACACATGGAGAGTTGGACTCGATCATCTTAGAGGTCTTTTCCAACATTAACCATTCCATGATTTTCACTTTTGAACCCTAGAAATTACTGAAATATTGTAAAACCTGATGGTGATCCAAAAGCTATTCAGACACATGAGTCCATCCATTTTGATAGTGAATATTCACAGCCTTACCCTTCCACATGGCCAAATCCTGTTACTAATGTTGTTCCAAAATTAGCCTTGAATTCCTGGAATCTGCTTCCATCCACCACACGGCTCAGAATCTGCAAAGAAACACACAGATTTTACTTTACTACAGAAATTGAAGTGAAATAGGATAATTCTGCTAAAAGAAATGCTCTGTTCAAATAGTAGGAGACCTGTGTTGTGCAAGAAATCCACCTCAATGAACACAGAAGGTCTTTTGGTGTCTTGCTAAACACTCAATATGCACAAAACATCCAATTTGTGTTTAGTTTAATTACCAACCATGTATTTTGAGCCAAGTCCAACTCAAAAATTCAGTGTTTCAAAGCACAGTTGTTCATGTGCATAAAAATGTAAAAAACCCCAGCATGTGCAGTTACAGATTTTGTGCATAAGAAACACTCTGTTGCGTATTGCTCAGGCTTTTTTCCAATAAAATTAAAACCCGTTTCCAAAGCTACTCTGCTTTCTACAGTCAACCCCCGTAACTGCAAGAATTTACCACTGGAAAAGATACTAGATTCACATCCTTGGAGACTAAATCTCATCTAGAACACAATGAAAATAGCGTGGGCAGCTCTGCATTGTCTCTGCTTAAGTATTAGTGTCTGTCCTAACCTCAAACAAGTTTAATTTGAGCCGTGTTGTTTTTTCAGTCAGGCATTTCTGTTGCATGACAGTCTTGATTGCCTGGGGTAAAAAAAACCAAAAAACAGGAGGAGGGGAAAACCAGACTTTAAAGGGGTGCATGTTCTCAAGGCAGCCAACACAGTACAAGCCATGCTGACACAACAGCATCTCAACAGTGCATGGAAACAGATGGGCATCAGCTGGCATAATCTAGAACTATCTAAAATGTATCTTATCTCCAGTAGGATTTCAATTTAAATATTTTCTATAATTCTACAGAACTCTTGCCATCCTGCTTTGTTGCAGACTCAAGACAGGCTGGCAATGGATGAGGTAAAAATACGTATTCTTCAAGAGAGAGCAGTCTGTTAATCTGGAGCTATGAGACAGAGCAGACAGAGGAATGAAGGAATGTAGTCCCTGTCCCCTTACCAGTTTGACAGGAAGAGTACACCTATAGTC